CACACACACACACACACTATAATAAAGGCATGAATCTCCTGAAGGCTATTTTAAAGCTCTCTGTTGAAGCTGATCAGTGAGACTGACAATTAAAAGCACGGACATTAGCAATTTTGGCATTATCGTCCTCTGAAAAAGCTAGCCGAGTGCATTTGGAAGTTCTCTTTTTGCACAGATGCTTGCTTGACAGCTGTCCCGTGTGAAAAGGTTTAAGACAATCTCCAGTTCACAGAACTGCCCGTACTGATATTGCCTGCAGAAATAAGGCAGAACGGCGACATCACACTCACTGGGAAACCTGCAGGAATGAGGAAGACAGCAGCTGGAGTTGTTGTGGGGCAGTAGTGTCACAGCAGCAGGTCTGGGGTGTCTCAGCCCCTGGTGCAGCCCAAGACAATCCTCTCTCTTCAACACCCAGCCCCCCGTCCCCCCAAATGCACACCCTTTAAATGTCGAACCCTTAAGTGGTGGACTAATGAATCAATTTCCTCCGTGTCGGCAATTTTCAAGCAATTTAGAGGCAGTGTAACCGCCTGTGAAAAATCATGAATCCTTTCTCCCAAACCGGTTCTACTCATTCCTACTCCTGGGCCACCTGTTCTGGAAAATCGAGGGGGTCTTTGCGTTGCACCTCGGGGTGGCCCAAGCTTCGCACCCGCGACCATGGCAGTGTGTCGGGCGCCGGGCAGCGACAGATGGGGGGAGGCCGAGAAGCCAAGGCAACCGGCTTGGGAAAAACCAGGAGAGGGCGGATTATCCCGACCGCTCCTTTAACTCTGAGGAATGTCTCCACTTCTATAGCTGCAGCTTCCCCGTCCTCCTCCTCCGTGAGCACAGGAGAGGAGCCTGGCAGCACATCCTGCGAGGCAGCTCCTTCTTCCTTCCAAGCAGTGCCTGGTAAGTGAGAACTGAGACACCCTGAGTCATTCACAGCCACCGCTGCAACGAAGCCAAATTAACAGAGAGGCCTGTCACGGGGCTCGGCTGGGAGATTGGCTTTTAAATTGATTTTGCCTTAGGCATGTTGTGAACGACCATGGCCGCCTACTGAGGGCCATTTCCTGTCCGAGATAAAATAACCCCAATCCGACAGGGAGGAAAAAGGAAGATGGAGAGATAAGGAATGCAAACGCGTCTGAAACTTTTCCTGGGTTTTCTTTTTGTAAGTGCAATTCTGGACTGCATTAAGCATAAGACATCAGGCCACTGCTCACAGTTACTATCGCTCATACAGACCCGATCAGCTGAATAAATTCTTTGCTTAACATCACGGGAATGCTTTGCCATTCATTAAATGTTTGGTCACTGGTGGTAAATTGATCCATCGACCCAATCCAGCTGTTATTTTTACTTGGAATTGTCAATTGTTTTTCTTTTGTTAACCTGCTTGTTAACCAACAAGACCTGGCTCTCTGGCAACAATTCTTGGCAAAGACGCCCTGCTGCGTGGGAGACATGTAGACACGCTCCTCTAACACGCCCACCTGCAGAGCTCGGCGATGCCTGTCTACCAGCAAGCGCTCCGCCCAGCCCAGCGGGCGAGGGAGTACCGATTGGAAGGGAGTCAGGTCCCGCGCTTACATCACTGCTAGCTTTGCAAGCGCCTGATTGGTTGCAGGAACTGCTGTCCTAACAACCAAGAGGACACTGGAAGACTCATCCTATCCCTTTCCACTGCAGCTCTGAACCAGCTGTAGGCAAACTCCCCCTGATGGAGGTTTGTAGCCACTGCATCTAATCGCCTTTTCTGGCTGTGTGGGCATGTGCAATTTCAAGGGTGGGAAAACAGAGAAGAATGACAATGTAGCACACATTCCTTCCTTACACCGCCGTATCAATGTAATTGCATTACGAGCAGATGCAGTATGACGGAAATGGACGCAGTCTAATTCCATCCCTGGTACCCTGGCATTTGTAAGGCTCAGCCCAGGCTTAGAAAAAGACAGGACTACAGCCGCCCTGGCAGTTCAGATGGGAAGATCAGCAAGGAACCCAAATGAGCAGGAGCTGCTCATGGTGGTGAGTGCACACACAGTACCTACAGCAAAGGGCCTGGGGTCAGAAGCCTTTGTTAACGAGATGCGTCATTAGTCTGCACATCTAACAAGAACAGTAGAACATAAAAACTATCAAAACTAAAAAAAACTATCAAATGGAAACTGCGACTGTCTTCTATTCCATTCACTCACAACTTATTAAGAGCTTATTATATTATATTATATTATATTATATTATATTATATTATATTATATTATATTATTTAGGATTTTGTAAAAGGACACATATTTACATCTGGCTAAATTCCTCTCCTGGTCTATACACTCCGACATTCCTACAGCTGTGCTTTAATTCCACCGGTGAAGTAATCCTGCCCTTCCCCACCTCCGGTGGCGGCTGCGCTCGGCGGGTTGGTGTAAGATACCTTGGGACCCCTGGGGAGGACCAGCGCTGTACAAATTCAAGAATCTCCGGCGTGTTCAGCGATTGAAAAAGTGAGATCTGCTTCAATTCCCCCGCGAGCCCCAATCCTTCAGGTCTCATAGGTGCAGTAATACATCAGCCTCTGGCAGAATGCGCACAGCCTCATTGGTGTGCAAGAGTCCGAGTGCTTTTGACAAATGTACATCTACATTGCCCATCCTGAGGTTTCTGCAGGGGAGCAGACTTAGAAGGTCTTTCTTCCTTTTACAATATTCTTATAGAACACTGCTTTTAAAACGTTTGGTCACTGTGTTCAAAAACTGGATATTGCTGACCTGGGAGGAGGGGAACAAGTCAATCGACCCCTGTCTTACAGGCTGAGAGCACTTAATGTCTTCCGTTTCGAACAGAGGAACTTCCAACGTATCAACATTCAGACGTGAGCAGGGAGCACAAAAAAAACTGCACGGAAGAGCATTTAAATCTAGGGAACACTTCTTTACCCAAAGGGTGGTGGAAGCATGGAACAAGCTACCCTGTCATGCTGTTGAAAGTGAGAACTTGGTTCCTCTCAATAAAGAGCTTGATGAGATCCTGGAGTCAGTTAACTACTTAATACCATACAGGCTAGATGGGCCACATGGCTCCTCTCCTGTGTAATGATTCTTATGTTCTTGTACTGAATATTCAAAATCTGATTCCGAGCCAAATGCAACCAGTGAGTTACTTTAGGGTCCGCAATGAGAAAGGAAGCAGAGGGCAAAAATAAAAATGAAGAGAGTACATTTAAGACAGAAATTGTGTAAGGCATTTCATTACACAAAGAGTGGTGGTTGTCTGGCACAAGCTTCCCCAAGCCAATACAGTTCTGAATTATTGGTACAGAAATGAGCAACAGGAATAGTTACATTTTTACATTCTTGTGTATGTCATATGAAATAACACCATGCCTGGATTCTGAATGCAAGGATGTCGAATATGATTAGTTTGTCCATTCATCCATTTTTCTAACCACTTTTTTCTAACCATTTTCTATTCAGGGTCATGGGGGAGCTGGAGCCTATCCCGGCAATCAAGGGGCACAACACAGAGTACATCCTGGTCAAGATGCAGGTCCATCATGGGACACACAGGCACTCACACCAGGGCCAATGTTTCCAGAAGCCAATTCACCCACCAGCAGGCCTTCGGACCGATGGAGGAAACCGATGCAAACCCAGGGAGAACATGCAAACTCCACACAGACAGCACCCCAGGTCTGGAATTGAGCCCAGGGCCTCGGTGATGCGTGGCAGCAACACTGACCCCTGATCAATTCGTCCTGTGAATAATTAATAACCGTGGAACAGAACCGCAGCAGGCTCTCGGCTGCCCGGCTTGGAAAGCAAGTCGTTTGAATCCAAGACTCCCCTCCCCGTCTCTGAGAGTCGCCGGCCTGGCCTGACCTTCCTCCGCTCGCCGGATTGGATCAGATCCCCGGCCTAGCGGGCTGGCTGACACCCACACAGGATGAAACCGGCTCTTCTGCGCAAAGCCCCCCCCCCCCCCCCCTCGTCCTTCCTGCCTTTCCAGTCGGA